AAAAATATCGACTAGCCTTCAGAAAAGCTCCATAGCCGTGAGCAGTCCTCCTCTTTCCCCAAACAGTCGATGGCCGCTCCTCTTCTTCCTCTTTCGTTTCCACGATTTTGAAAACCTAACTCAAATACCCGACCCAAACCCACCATGAAGATCCTCATTGCTGTTCGTTTTTTCGTGCTCTCGTGTTCGCTTCTCGCCTTCGCCATCGAAGATGACATTACCTGTCTCCAGGGCATCAAGAACTCCCTCTCTGACCCCCAGAGCCGTCTCGCCTCGTGGAACTTCGTCAATGGTTCGGGAACCTCAATCTGTAAGCTCCTGCTTCCTGGTGTGTCCTGCTGGAATGAGAAGGAGAATCGCATCATCGGCCTCCAGCTCACTTCCATGCAGCTCTCCGGTGAGCTTCCTGACTCGCTTAAGTACTGCCGGAGTCTACAATCCCTGGATCTCTCCAAGAACTCCCTCTCCGGTTCCATCCCGTCTGATATTTGCTCGTGGCTACCGTATCTCGTCACGCTCGATCTCTCCGGTAACCGTTTCTCCGGTTCCCTTCCCCAGCAGATCGCTGACTGCAAGTTCCTTAACAAACTCATTCTGGACGAGAACAAACTGTCCGGTACAATCCCCTACGAGTTAACCCGCCTGGACCGGTTGAAGGAGTTCTCCGTTGTGGATAACGGGTTGTCAGGTTCGATCCCGTCTGATTTCTCGAGATTTGGGGAGGGTAGTTTTGATGGTAACAGTGGGCTTTGTGGGAAACCCTTATCGAAATGTGGGGGTTTGAGTGGTAAGAGTCTTGGGATTATTATCGTCGCCGGAGCTGTTGGGGCTGCCGTGTCTTTGATCGTCGGTTTCGCGATTTGGTGGTGGTGGTACTTCTTTAGAGCTTCCAGTAGAAAGAAGAAAGGTTATGGTGTTGGCGGAAAGGATGATAGCAGCTGGATTGATTTGTTGAGGTCGCATAAGCTTGTTCAAGTCTCATTGTTTCAGAAGCCAATTAACAAGATCAAATTGGCAGATTTGCTGGCGGCAACAAACAGTTTTGATTCCAGTAATGTTGTGATTTCAACTAGGACTGGAGTCTCGTACAAGGCCATGTTGCCGGACGGATCTGCGCTGGTGATCAAGAGGTTGAGCGCCGGTAATCTGAGTGAAAAGCAGTTTAGGTCGGAATTGAATAGGCTAGGACAACTTAGGCATCCAAATTTGGTTCCTTTATTGGGGTTTTGTGTTCTGGGGGAAGAGAGGCTTCTGGTGTATAAGCATATGCCCAATGGAACACTCTACTCTCAGTTACGTAGGAGTGGTATTGGTAACGGTCAGTTTGAGGGTTTGGATTGGCCAACTAGGCTTAAGATTGGAGTTGGTGCGGCGAGAGGGCTGGCTTGGCTTCACCATGGATGCCAGCTACCATATATGCACCAGTACATTAGCTCAAATGTTATACTTCTTAACGAAGATTTCGATGCCCGGATAACTGATTTTGGATTAGGAAGGCTACTGGGATCCCGCGATTCCAATGATAGTTCATTTGTTAATGGGGATTTGGGGGAGCTTGGTTATGTAGCTCCTGAGTACTCGAGCACTATGGTTGCATCACTAAAAGGGGATGTTTATGGTTTTGGGGTTGTGCTTCTAGAGCTGGTCACTGGGCAAAAGCCTACTGGAGTTGGTAATGTGGATGATGGACTCAAAAGGAATTTGGTGGATTGGGTCAGCCAGTTGTTTAGCACTGGTCGAAGCAAGGATGCTATTGATAAAGCTCTATGTGGGAAAGGTCATGATGATGAAATTATGCAGTTTATGAAAGTTGCCTGCACTTGTGTGGTTTCCAGGCCCAAGGATAGACCCTCCATGTACCAGGTTTACGAGTCACTGAAGAGCATGGCCGAGAAACATGGATTCTCTGAACACAATGATGAATTCCCATTGATCTTTGGCAAACAAGATGCAAATCATAAGTAGTATCTGCAATGAAGAGATAAGAAGGAAGCAAGCAAGCAAACGTGTTATACATCCCTGTATGCTAGCTAGGTTCTATAAAGCATGATCTACAATTGGTACGATTTCCACTTGAACAGATTTCCACTTTCGAATGCTCTCAATTGTTAGATGATTCTGTAAATTACATGGAAGATTATCCACTGTAGTCTCTCGATGTAATGCAGTTAAAAGTTTCCTTTGAGTCACACTTTCTTCCCTTTTTAAGCACATATATCCTTTTAAACAAGATAAAAGAAATTCTTTAAGTCAAGTCTCCCAATTCTTTGGACCTGTTTTTCCTATATGATTTCTCCAGCTTAATCTTCCTCATTTTATAATGAAAAAGATGCATGCAGTGTCAATTATCAGGTATCAACTCCGGTATTTACTAAGAACTTTAGTTCTCTTCCAAGAGACTGTAAATTGCATTACTCCAATGCTGATTTTTTATTGGTGCTTCTCCCTTTCTGGTTTGCATTGAATCCTCTGATGAGTCAATTTACTCAAGACTTGAATCGAAGATTTTATAGTATCAACTCAGCAAACACAGCATTCCCGTGATGATATTAATTACAGTCTCGGATACAGTGGAACACATGGTCAGGGAATATCACCCATCACTATGTTATTTGATCTTTTCAGCTCCCTTCTAGGGCTGGGACCATGTTTGAATCCGACCACCCACGTGAGATTCAGCTGGGTGAACTTCTCAACCTTCATGTGTGGTTTCTAGGGTGCCTGATCCAGGTCACAACTTTTGCTGCACCACCACATGCTACTGACCCCACCTCTCCTAAGCCCTTATAATGCATGATTTTGAAATCAAACCGAAGTTGTAACTCTGAGACTTCCCTCAGGCTCAGGGTCTCAACATATGCGTGAAAGCATTAAATTTAATCTTTCAAGATTGAAACATCAAACTTTGTAGCCAGACAAATATGCTCCATTATGGATCCAATTATTACTTCTGTTGAACCTGGTGGCAGAAAACATCTGGCTCTCCTGAGTCCTGACCCCGGAAGTGAACATGTTCCAAGTGCTAAAAGCATTCGTTTATCTGTGTAGTAATAATTGATTGGATTCGGGGACCTTGCATGGGCCTTTGGGCCCAAAAAAGATGAAGACCCAATCGCTCGGGCCCTTTTTACTAAAAAAGATTGGACCATCATCTTGATTTTTTAATTGAAATTAAAGAAAATTAAGACACTTTGACAAATAAAATACCAAAATAATAATGTAAAGATTTAAGTATTATTAATAAATCAATATGTAAGAAAGATTTATAAGGCATCTAAAAAATTTTACAAGCAATTATGAATGTCCCAATTTTCAGTTTTTTCTTTCTTATTTTAGTGTGGATTTTTTTTTTCATTTTTTCTTGTACATCCAAAATTATTTTATCATCACATGTTTGGATTCTAATTTTAACCCTATATTAAGGTTTTCTCTTCCTTGTTCGTTCTAATCATTCTAACCATGGACTATATAATTATCATATCTCAAAATCCCCCAATCTCAACCAAAGTTTTGAATTTGAGTCCTCCAAACTCAGAGTATTAAAAAATAGAACAGCCCTGAGCCAGTAGAAAAAACATGGAGAGGGAGTGAGGAAGGGAGAGAGAGAGAGAGGAGATGACTTATTATTTCGTAACATTATTTTGGGTGTCTCTGCATAATATTGATTAAAATCTAGTAATATCATAAAATTTAAAAGTACAGAGGCATATCCATAAATATCAAGAAATGGAAGGTCCCTTCGGTAAAAAGAGAAGAAAACAGAGGCGAATATCGGAAAGCAAAAAATTCTCAATGTAGCAGAAAAAGAAGGGAAATGGCCAAGAGGAGCGAAACGAAGGAGAAAGCTATGGCGTCTGCGAAATCATGGCTGTTTCTCCTCCTCTCTTCCTTCCCTTTCCTCTTTTCCGTCGCAGCATCTTCCCTTCACGAACGGTAAGTGTTCTTAGCTTCGTTCTGTAATCTCGACTATTCCCGTTGATATTGGGATTGTTGTGATCTGAATTCAATTTGCAGTGAAAGCGTGGGGCGTAGGGTTCTGATGAGCTTCAAGGAAACTCCTGAAGGAACTAATGTTACTTTCGAATGCTCTCGTTCCGGTTCCTGCGATCGCTGCCTTTACTCCGAGAAGGTTCCATTTCTATTTGGAATTTGGAGTTTTGTTTATTGGTGGATCTGTATGATCTAGTTTTTATTTCTGAGTCTGTATATCTTGAAGGAAGATTTGAGGTTCAAGAACACAATTTTAACAGATTAGATACAGATTCTTCTTTAAATTCAAGTAAAATTTCACTTGACTGGGCATTTGAGATATTTATGTGTGTATAGTTTTTATTTTAATTATTTGCTGAAATGTTTCATGTTCTAGCTACAAATTTATGGATCTTGTAAACAAGTCCCCCCATTTGGTCTCTGGAACTGGAAGCACCTGTCATTTTTCATTGTTGCTTCAGATTTGAAGTCGATTCATGACCCAAATAATGCTGAATGTAACTTTAAATATGTCAAGATCTCATGTCTTGGTTTTATGTTGGTTCTGATAATTGTCTAATGCCCACTTAGGCTTATGGAATTATATTGTTGCTTGTTCTCTACAGGTTGATGAAAAATATCGGTGCAGTGAGACTGGTTATCGTATTCCTTTTAAATGTGTAGAAGTTCAAGATGCCACCAACGGTGAAAATACACAAAAATCTCAAAAAGATAGATCTACTTTTGAAATCTCTGACAGCAGTGCTAATGCAATTAAGCAAAGAAACTTACGTGATGATTCATCTACAGCAGACGGTGAATCACAGGCTTACATTACTTATAGAAGCTGTATACCACCAGTTGATGAAGAAGGGTTGTCAGTAATAGGCTTTGAGGTATTATATTTTGGAATGGTCTCTTCCATTTTGATTTGGATCAACTATTTGTTTTCATGTCTGAATGACTTTGCTAAGAATTAGAGCACATATGTTAACCTGCAACTTAACCAATTCAGGTCTGTTGTACCCACTGTTTGGTTTGCAGTAAATGACTTACTGGAAATTATAGCTAAGATACCTCTTTAGTGTGTACATGATAAGTAAAATACTTAGAGATAGAGGATACCCTTATCATTTTCTGGAGAACAACTTTTTCCATTGGAAAGGAGAAGTTGTTTTCCAGAAAGAAGATAAGTATCCATCTATTGCTAAATATTTTGCTTCTAATGTAAGCAATAACAAGTCATTATATCTATGATTTTCCAGATGTCATTTTCTGGGAATGAAACAGAGCCTTAATCCCTTATGTATATTTGCTGATAAATGCTATCGATGTGTAAACTATTTAGCATTAATCTGAAAGACTAAGAGAATCAATCATGGTAAGATATTGCTCTTGGTTGGTTTCAATATTTTCTGAAATTGGTGTCATTATTAATGTATACGTTCCAACTACATCTGAACAGGAGATT